TGACTTACTTACCCTTGAGTGATGAAGCCACGCCTCCTGTAGGGATTAAAAAGTAAACTTAGTAATTGATACTGCATATGACCCAGAGACTTTGTATATGGCGAAGAAAAATAAGACAGGTGTGCTGTAATAGGAATCTCAGAAACTCAAGCTAAATAAAATAACTAGACAGTTTGAAAAGATTGACCTATAAGATCAAGTGCGTTATGGCATCAGACTTAGAGGAAAAATTTTCAGGAGCCAGAGAGGAAAGTGTCATGGTCTAAGAGTGGAGTAACTAATAAGTGAAAATCTGGTACAGCCTTGATGTAAAGGGAACTTGATGTCCATGGAGATGAGTAAATACCAGATTCTACCCTTTAGGATGAAGCAGTGTCAAGACATATCTGGTCAAACCAAAAATTTGTATATCTATGCTTAACACCTGTCCTGGACATAGTTAATTCAATTCAGTTCTGTTCACAAATATTATTTGTTAAGGAAAACTAAGAAACAGGCCTTGTCTTCATCTTGTCTGGTTCACGTGACAGATGCATAAATAAATCATTTTAATTGTTAAGCACAGAAAACAATAGACAATATACAGGCTGCTTTGGGTGTTTAGAGAAGGTGCATCTAATGTAACCTGGAGATGTTAAAGAAGGCTTCCTTGAGGAGATGAAATCTAAGATACGTTTTTGAAGGATATTAGGAATTAGCCAGATGAAGACAAGTCAGAATATTGGGATATTCTAAGTATAAACTAAGATTTAGAGTCATTAAATGTCAGGAAACTTAGTTGCATGCTTGTCAATCCATCTAGGCTAGGGTTTCTTACCCTTACTCTGTTGACATTTTGGGGGCTAGGTGATTACTTGTTGTGGGAGGCTGTCCTGTGCATTGTAGAATGTTTAACAGCCTGCCTGGCCTATACCCAGCAGGCATCAGTAACAGCAGCAGCAGCAGCAGCAGCAGCACCGCTGCAATTGTGACAACTACAGATGTCTCCAGACATTACTAAATGTGCCCTAGGGGGCAATATCACCTCTGGTTGAGAACCAGTGGACCTGGTCTAAAATTTAATTAAATTAGGATTCGAAATTTATATTCTGGAACTCAGTGCATTCATGTTTTCTTTTTCTATTTATTTAGCCCACTAAAAATTTATTTTGAAATTCCAACCTAGTCTTAACCAAAGAAAGAACATTGTTTCCGTATCTTGTTCAAGATATAGAAGAGGGGATCGTTATATGGCTAGAGTTCTGAGTGTAATGTTTGCTCTGATCAGTACAGTACAAAGCTTAGAACTGGATAAAAGATAAGTTCAGTAACCCAGAAACTGAGTATATAGAGATTTTTACTCGGTTATAAGAATGTCAAAATTTAGAACTCCTCAATAGCTTTAATTTTCCCAGGAGCGGTTTCAGCACTGTGTCCACTTTTGCACTACAACTTAAAATATTGAAAAACTTGAAAGTACATGGGAAGATGACTAGCTGTCCCATCTATGTGAGAAAATGTTTAGCATTATAATTGTTTTGGCTCACAAGGAAAGAGAGTCTATGCCATGATCTTCTAGAGTTTGAAGATTGAGAAAATATGACAGATTGCAGTATAACTTTAGGGTTAGGTTTAAATATTCTAGAAAATCAGAATTTTCTAGAAACTCTTTTTTGACTATAAGCCAGACTTTCAATATTTAAGTGTCAGACTGATAAAAATTCTGATTTTAAAGGATTTTTCAATTGTTTGCCTATGTATATACACACACATACTTATATACTTGTGTACATATTTATATATCACAGTTTAAGTCTAAACTCTAGTTAATATAAACTGCTTCCAACTGTGCTGGCTAACTCTTATTTTTATTCAACATTAGGTGGTAGGGCTGCAAGTATGAATACTTCTTAGCCACTAGCTTCAAGGAGGTAATAATTTTGATAGGTAAATGGATATACAACTAACTATAGTCGATTATTTACACTATAGTAGATTTTTAGATCTCTGTATAAAAATCACATTTATGATTAATCACATTTTGATTAATTAATGAATTTAGTAGCTGTAAGAACAATGTGAATTAGTTTGGAGGGATAAAAAAATATCAATGACTAAGTTGAGTTGTAGAAGATAGTCCAAAATATGTAACATTGCCATCACTTAATGCTAAAGGCAGGCAATAATTTGTGTGATACTTGGTAGAACTACTTAATAAGCAAAAGTTATAGAGAAAGCAGATGCCATTTTTACATTTTTCAAATTTCTCTCCTTAGGGTTAAGATTAACCAATTAGTTTCCTAAGTTTTTATTTTTTTATTTTTAAAGATTTTGTTTATTCATGAGAGACGAGAGAGAGAGAGAGAGAGAGAGAGAGAGAGAGAGAGAGAGGCAGAGACATAGGCAGAGGGAGAAGCAAGCTCCATGCCTCCATGCAGGGAGTCTGATGTGGGACCCAATCCCGGGACTCTAGGATCAGGAACTGAGCCAAAGGCAGACGCTTAATCGCTGAGCCACCCAGGCATTCCAGTTTTTGTTTTTTTCATATAATCTCTACATCCAATGTGGGGCTCAAACTTAAAACCCTGATATCAAGAGTCACGTGCTATACTGACTAAGCCAGCCAGGTGCCCCATACCGACCCCCTTGATAGTATTTCAGCCAAAATGCAACCCCTAAAAGAGTGTTATCATTGAGCTCATTTTTACTTTGATGATATTACCTACTGTGAAACTAGTGCAGCATTGATATAAGCATGTTAAAACTAAGTTTTCCTGAAATGTTAGCCTTCAGTTGTGACTTTAGTTGAACAGTATTCTTGTGCTTAGTTAATAAAAGCCAGCCCTGTATTCATTTACCAGCATATCCCCAGGGCTAGGTACATTGTAAAGCATCCAGTAATTATTATGGGTGAATGAATTGTCTTATCTGCAATAAATTAAACCCAGAACTACAACTAGGTCTTAATTTAAATCATTACCTTTTCAACTTCACTTTATTTTGTTTTGTTTCTAAATAATAGGTTTAAGTCAGTTTCATCTTTTAAATGTTCTTTACACATATTGAACAAAAATACTCCTTTTCATTAATGACTGTGAACACTTGCTCACCTACTAGAGGGAAAATGGATAAATGCATCTTTATCTGCTGGCACTATTGAGAAATATTAATTGGGAAAAAAAGAGAAATATTAATTAGGGATAGAGGAAGAGAAGTAAAATGTATTATGCTTAGATAATGATGCCATTTTAGATATGATTTTGATGATCCATGAAAACAAATGATTTATTCCTTCAAAGCAAAGTAGAATACTAAGGCAGCAATAATAGTCATGAATATATTTTAAAACTTTTGAATTTGCTAATAAATTAGTTTTCTTATATAAAGTTGTTTAATTTGTGTGTTAAGAAGTAAATGGATTTGTTGACCCAGTGTGTGAGAGAATACTCACCATGTTAAGTACTCTGATATATGTTGGATTTAGCATGCTTAGTTATATTTTAAATTATCATGGACCAAAATCTGTTTCTTTCCTGTCCCTGTAGCTTCTTGAAAGTTAAATGAGATATATGATTTGGAAGAGTTAAAAGTGGGCAGTTACGTAGTTAAAGAGCTAGAAGGCTTCGTTCCAGTCACAGTTCTGCTGCTTACTGGCTGCCCACCTGTACTAGGTCATGGATCTGCTCTGAGCCTCACTAGTAAACTGAAGGATTTAGGTTACATGAACGGAGGTTTCTTCTAGCTTTGAAACTTCCTATTTCTCAAATTCTACATTATCTAAGAACCTAGAATTGTTTACTTTTTTCTTTTCTTTTTTTAAGATTTTATTTATTTATTCATGAGAGACAGAGAAAGAGAGAGGCAGAGACACAGGCAGAGGGAGAAGCAGGCTCCATGCAGGGACCCTGATGTGGGACTCGATCCCTGGACTCCAGGATCACGCCCTGGGCCTGGGCCGAAGGCAGGCGCTAAACCAGTGAGCCACCCAGGGATCCCCCCCCACCCCAGAATTGTTTTCAATGCTACCAACATTTATTTAACATTTTGCAAAAGGCCAATGGATACCAGACTATCTAAAGTAAAAACCCTGCTGTTACAGAGCTTATAGATCTTAGTCTTTCCCCTTTCTCACGTGAACCTTAAAATTAGGCTCATTTTTACTCGCACCTGGGTGGCTCAGTTAAGCACCTGCCTTCTGCCCAGGTCAACCCCCAAGGCCAGGCTCCCTGCTCAGCATGGAGTCAGCTTCTCCCTCTGCCCCTCCCCCTGCGCACTCTCTCTCCCCCTCTCAAATAATAAATAAAATCTTTTTTAAAAATTCTGTTTTACTAGAAGTATAGACTCTTTATAGGAGCTTTTACTATCATACACATGGCAACAGGTCATTTATAATAAGAAATATTAATAGAATTAGTGAATAATAGCTACTGAGGCTCATCTCACAAATCTCTAGTTTCTAATTTCTCCAACTTGGAGGTTATCCTTGAGTGAACTAACATTCGATTTCATGTTCAAGGCAAAGCTTTGGAAATGGTTGCCAAACTATCTCCCTTATGCTTTAGATCATTTTTAACAAGTCACAAAACCACGAGTAATTGACAAGGAAATCAAAACAACTTGTATGTAAGGTTGGTACTATGGTAACTTTCTAATGTTAATACATAGAATGCAGAAAGCATAGTACAAATGACTAGGAATAGACTGCTAAATTTTGAGGATTTTGAAATGTGATGATGGCTGAAAAAAGACATAGAAAACCATTAAAGACCCTTAAAGATAGAGAACAAACTGAGGGTTATGGAGGGCAGGAGATGGGCGATGGGCTAGATGGGTCATGAGTATTAGGAAGGCACTTGCTATGATGAGCACTGGGTATCGTATGTGAGTGATGAATCACTGAATTCTATTCATGAAACCAATATTGCACTGTATGTTAACTAGAATTTAAATTAAAAATTTGAGAAAAAAAAGACATAAAATAGTTGGTTTATTTCTAAATTTTTCTCCTTTTTTTTTTTTAGGTCCCAAAACAGTTTTTTTCTGGGCTCCAATTATGAAATGGGTAAGTCTTGAGTTTTTGCAGGCACTACTGAAAAAAATATTCTTTAAAAGGAACTTATTGGGGGGCCTGGGTGGCTCATTTGGTTGAGAGGCTAGGCTGCCTTTGTCTCTAGTCAAGACCCTAGCTCCTGAGTTTGAGCCCCCCTCTCCCTCAGCAGGGTGCCTGCTTCTCCCTCTCCCTCTGCACCTCCCCTTGGCTATGCTCTCTGTCTTTCAGATAAATAAAATCTTTTTTAAAAGTAAATAAATATCTGCAAAAAAAAAAAAGGTAAATAACTAATTTAAAGTAACTTTTATGATGTATGTACTTTTAAAAGTATTCATTGCCTGGAGATGATTTCATGCAAATAATTTCAGACGTGTCATTTTTACTGTGTAAAGCACACTACCTACTTGTAGAGTTGTTCTCAACTCCTTAGATAAAAGGCCTTCTAGGAACATTATTGTTATCAAAAAGCTTGTAATTGGGGCACCTGTGTTGCTGTCGGGTAAAGAAGCATCTACCTTCAGCCCAGGTCATGATCTCAGGGTCCTGGGATTGAGGCCCATGTCAGCTCCCTACTAAGTGGAAAGTCGACTTCTCCTCTCCCTTTGCCCCTCCCCCCTCTCATTTTCTCTCTCTGTCTCAAATAGATCAATAAAATCTTTAAAAAAAAAAAAAAGCTTGTAATTGTGGACCCTTGAAACTTCATTCTAAGATTTTATGACTAAGTAAAACATTAAACTAATTAGAAACTCCCCCCAGTTTAACTTTTATTATTAATTTAGTACATGAACTGAAGATACCAACACCAAAATACATACAAACAAGGAAAGTTAGTCTCAAAAAAAAAATAGAAAAGATCATCCAAGGGTGTATATTAACATTTGGTAAATGGTAGAATCTAGGACTTCTGATCCTAGATCAGAAGCACTCCAAGACCAGTGCTTTTTAACTTATGTCAGAGTTTCCATTCCTGAAGTTCTCATTTAGCTGAAAAGAGATAATTGTAGAGATAATAAAACATCATTGATTTTATGTTCAAAGGGCCAGTTTTGGCCTATAGCAGTGCTTCTCAAAGTGTCATCCTAGACCTGCTGCATTTTCATTGCCCAGGAATTTATTAGAAATGCAGATTTTTGGGCTCCATCTCAGTTTTACTAAATCTGAAACTCTGAGGATGGAGCCTAGTAATCTGTGTTCTAATAAGCCCTCCTGGTGATTCGGATGCCTTCTAAAATTTGGAAAATACTGGTCTGTGGCCTTTTTTTTTTTTTATTGTGGTAAATTACACATAAAATTTACCATGTTAACCATTTTTTTTTGTTTAAGTACATCACATTTTGTGCAACCAATCTCCAGAACTCCTTTTATCCTGCAACACTAAAATTCTGTACCAGTTAAACTACTCATTTCCCTGCCCCCAGCCTTTGGCAACCACCATTCTACCTTCTGTCTCAATGAATTTTACTACTCTAGGTACCCCAAATAGGTGGAATTGTACAGTGTTTGTCTTTTTGTGTTTGTCTCACTTAGCCCAGTGTGCTCTGGTTTATTATCCATGTTGTAACATGTGTCAAACTTTTAGTATGAATAGTATTCCATTGTATAGATGCCACATTTTGCATATCCATTCATTTGTTGATGGACACTTGAAGTGCTTCCACCTATTGGCAATTGTGAATAATGCTGCTGTAAGTAATGGCGTCCATCTATTCCAGTCCCTGCTTTCTGTTCTTTGGGGCATATACCTGGAGGTGCAATTGTTGGATCAGTATTATTTTGAGCAACTGCCCTACTATATTCCACCGTGGCTGCACAGTTTTACATTCCCACCAGCAACTCACAAGGATTCCAATTTCTCCACATTGCCTGCCGATACTTGTTACTTTTGTTGTTGTTGTTGTTGTTGTTTTGTAATAGCCATCTTAATGGGTGTGAAGTGGTAGCTCATTGTGGTTTTGATTTACATTTTTTAATGTGATTAGTTATACTGAGAATCTTTTCATGTGCTTTATTGACCATTGTATATCTTTGGAGAAATGTCTTTTCAAACCCTTTGTCCATTTTTTAATCAAGTTGTTTGTTATTGAGTTGTAGGCTATTTTAATTTTCATAAATGCACCATTTAAAATCGTTAGAACAGTTTCAGAAACTCAGTTGTAAATCTAAGTAGTTGAGAATGTCAGAATTTACTGTCCCCCAATCTTACGACCTTAGGCAAGTTAAATCTGCCATTTTGTCTCCCTAACTGTAAAATGACTAGAGTAGATTAGTGTTTGGGAGCTGCCTTTTACAGAGAACTGAAGAGTAGTTCTTTTTATTATTATTATTATTTATATTGTTAAAAATCAGAATTCAACCAAGTGAATTTGAAGATCTAATTGGCTGTATTAAATGATTCATGAGTGGGACAGCATCCCATTTAGAAGTAAAGGGGAGCTCCCAAGGGCTACAGAAAGAGAATGTTTAAAGGTAGGACAAGGAAATGATAAACTTTTAGAAAAGAGGATTATTTCCAGGTGAGGTCACCTTCATTTAGAGACCCAAAAAAGAATCTTAGTAGGTGAATTATCTCATCTTTCTTTGGGAGTTGGGGAGAGGCCCATGTGACAAGATTACCTCATTGGTGCTGACCAGAACATTCCTAACTGGTTAAGACTACATTTCAAGGGGAGGTTGAAAGTGCAATTACATTAGGTATTGGTGATTTGGCCTAAGTGATGCCACTTTGGGCCTGTGGGTTTCTTTTAACAATATATTGAGAAAAGGTCCCATCAGTTAAAAAAAAAGAAGAAGAAATTTCAACATATTCATGTTTAATGGTTATGCTCACTCAAAACATTCAACACTAGTTTTAGTTTGGTGTGACAGTACTACAGCTATGTTTAGAACTATGTAGTATATTGAAGTAGGGGGAAATAGTACTGCTTTTTATCACTCATGTCTTTAAAGTTCTTTTCAGAATAAGTGTCAATCATTTATGGTGATTGTAAATAATGGTGCCCTTAACTTCATGTGTTTCCCTGGCATTTCATTCTGATCTTTTTCTTGACGTGGTGAGCAATTAGTAAGTAGTGTTCACTCACTTTCAATTACTAAAGACAAAAAAAAAAAAGAATTTACTAAAGACAAGAATTATGTACATTTACTAATGTTTTTCCCACAATAAATATCATTTTTTCTACTCCTCATGGGACTTAGTTAAACAGACATTTGATTTATGTCTTTGTTGCTCTGTAATTGAATGAGATTCAACTGTACACTAAATTCCATCATTACATTGTAATCCTACATTTATTCCCAGGAGTGGGAATTGAAGTTTGGTAATCTACCTCCATATATGTCTATACCCCACAGCTGAAACCTGTTCACTCATGTTCTACCATTCCTGTTTGGTAGAAAAACTCTATGAATATGGAGACTCTTCACAAGAGGCCCAGAACAAGAATTCTAAGGTCCAAACTGAATTTTAGTGTAGACTTTTATAGCAGATTTGTCTTGTAAGCTGTCTTACTTATATTTGTAAACATTATACAGTCACATGAATTACTTTCTTTATATAATGGGATTCAGAATCATAAAGGATATGATTGAAATCATTCTACAATAACTGTCACACTTGATCTTAGCCAAAAGGCCAAGAAGCGATTATAGTAACCATTAGATAAAATTCATTTTTATTATTCATTCAACTTTACACATAATTTTGTGTTTAGTTTGAATAAATATGTTTATATATTAATTCTCATGGCTAGAATGGAATTTCAGACAGTTCTTAAATGGTAATAGAGATTGTAGCAATCTAGTTATTGTGAGATGACAAAATACGCAACAAAGAATACCAGCAGAGAAAGGAAAATTACTACTTCAGTTGCCCTTAACATAATTTTTATAAACTGTGCAAATGTTTAATGTAAATGGTGATAACTACAGAGCAGAAATGAAGCAGTTGAGGATGGGACAAATTAAAAAGTCAGTGGGAAAGGTTAAAAAAAAACACTTGAAATTTTTGGTGCCCAACACTAATGGTCCATCTGTAGAAAACTCCATTAGTATGATGTATGAATGTCTTTTTTTTTTAATGTTTAAAATGTGTTGTCTACTTATTAATTTAATTAAAATGCAGGGACACCTGGGTGGCTCAGTCTGTTAAGCGTCTGTTTTCAGCTCAGGTCATGATCCCAGGGTCCTGGGATTGAGCCCCATGTTGGGCTCTCTGCGCAGCAGAGAGTCTGCTTCTCCCTCTCACTCTCCCTGTGTGTTCTCCTTCTCTCTCTCAAATAAATAAATGAAATCTTTAAAAAATAATAATTTGATTAAAATGCAGATCAAAGCAAAAATAAACATCTAAAACTAGTGTGATTTTTTTTAAATAATGGAAAATATATTATTTTCTTCCTCTACTCTGTGTCAGCAATGAAAGTTATATAGTAATTATATGTCTATAAAATATAATTGATTACTTAACTATTGTTTATAGCACTATTATTATTATAAGAGTAAGAATGACTTACTCTATTTATAATAAATTTGGGGGTTCTCTTTGACCTCAAATTTACCACAACTTAGAAGTTTACTGATTTTATCAATAGCTTTGGTGTTTTTTTGATCTGGCCCTCCAGTATTTTGAAACACTGACAGTATGATATACTCATAAGTGCCTTGTTGGTTATCTGTCTCCTTTAAAAACATCTATTTTAAGTTCATGTTGAAATCATACATAGTCTTCTGATGACAGCACAGCAGTAGAAACTGTGCCTTGTTCTCTGGTGAGGAGACTACTTTTGTTTGTTATGTATTTATGCACATATTATTCCAGACCAATTGATAATAATTCATGTATGGTAGTCTATCCATGACACGTGACAGTTGCTGCTCCAAGCCACATATGTTTTATATTAAGAATTTAAGACTATACTTGTTCAGACATTTAACTGTACCGGATTCCTTCTTAGCCACTTAATTAGCTACTTTATTATTTGGTTGAAACCAAATAATATTGAGGTCAAAGTGGATAATTCTAAAAAACAAAATAGATAATCCTTACATACTTTAAATATTTTATTTTAACTTAATATATATTCATTTGCCAATCATCTACAAGACTAAGGCTTTTATTGGTGTAAGGATTCTTTCAAGTTCCACATTTTCTACTTTGGAGGAATTATTCTACAGTGCATTCTGTGTAATTTTCACTTTAGGGGTGCCTGGCTGGCTTAGTCAGTAGAGCATGTGATTCTTAAACTCAGGGTCATAAGTTTGAGTCTCAGGTTTGGGGTAGAGATTACTTTAAAAAAAAATTTTTTTTTTACTTTCCACTTTCGTTTTGTTTGAAACACAGCAATTTCATAGATAATTTCACAATAGTATAAGAACAGAAATTTGCTAGATTTTTATGGCTTTCCCACCCAGTCTTTTTATATCTGTCTCGTTCACATAAATTTGACAGCAGGCTTTAACAACTTGCCTTTATTCAATCTTTCCAAAGCAGTCACTTTAATTTTCATAGAAATGACAACCCTCTTTTGTGTTTCACCTATTTACCTAATTGTTCATTAGGTTTAGAGGACAGAGTTGATAAGAATTCACCTCAACTAGTGAGAGCAAAAATTTGTGAATACAGAATAAAATGAAGATCCTTGGGTATTCAGCATGCCTCAGGCATCTGTTAACTTGTTTACAGAGGAATAGAGATCTTTGGCTAACCTGGGAAACTATTATGTGAAGGTCAAAGAGCTTCCTTTATTTTTGTTCATAGTCTTTTTGCACAGTTACACTCAACTCTCAAACAATATACCATTTTGTATAGTTCATTTTTGTGTTTTTTCTTCAATTTAGGAATAAATCCAACTATTTCAAGATTATCCATGCAGATTTTTAATACCTATTTCTTTTTCAGCTGGAGTTATTTATAGATTAATTTATGGTTTAGAATCTTGGGTGCCTGGGTGGCTCAGTGGTTGAGCATCTGCCTTTGGCTCAGGTAGTGATCCCGGGGTCCCAGGATCGAGTCCCGCTTTGGGCTCCCTGTGGGGAGCCTGCTTCTCCCTCTGCCTGCATCTCCACCTCTGTCTCTAGTAAGTAAATAAAATCTTTAAAAAACAAATGGCTTAGAATCTTGAGGATTGGGTGCTTGGGTGACTCAGTTGGTTAACGGTCTTCCTGAGCTCAGATCATGATTCCAGAGTCCTGGAATCAAGTCCCACATCGGGCTTCCGGCCCTGTGGGGAGCATGCTTCTCCATTTCCTGTTCCCCCTTCTTAACTGGCTCTCTCTCATTCATAAATAAATAATAAAATCTTTTTAAATATCTTGGGGGCTTTGCTATCTCTAAGCATTTGAAATTGGAATACTCTAAAGTGGTATCTCATTTTTTTAACATTCCTCTAAAAGTGTCATAAGACTTTTTTTTTTTTTTTTTTTTTTTTAGTAAATGAGAAAATACTGAAGAAAAGAAACACGATGTTTTATACTTTAGCATGGAGATATACCTACCCAACCCAATGGAGATAAAAAGATGCCAAAGAGAGTTACAGGGAACCTGGGTAGCTCAGTCAGTTGAGCAGCCCTAACTCTTGATTTTGATTGAGGTCATAGTCTTGCGGTCCTGGGATCCAGTCTGCGTCAGGCTCCATGGGAGTCCACTTGAGGATTCTCTCTCCCTCTGCCTCTGTCTCTCCCCTGTTTGTATGCGCAGGTGCATGCACGCTCTCTTTCTCAAATAAATAGATCTTTTAAAAAAACTGAAGGGCACCTGTGTGACTCAGTCAGTTAAGCATCTTGCCCTCAACTCAGGTCACGATCCTAGGGTCCTGGGATCAAACCCCACATCAGGCTGCATGCTCTTTGGGCAGCCTGCTTCTCTCCCTCTGTGTCCACCCCCCACCTCCCTGCTTGAGCATTCTCTCTCTCTCTCAAATATACATACTAAACATACTGTTGTGATAGTTGTTGTGGATCAGTACTTGCTTTGTATGTTAGAGTATTTTATATAATCTTATTACTTATTCTAAACACTCTCTGAATAGACTCTATATAGTTCTATCATTTGAATAAAGTTCATAATAAAGATGAAAAGGAACACAGGCCATCTGCCTTCTATCCTGAGACTAATAATGCAGGAAAAGACAGAAAACTAATATTCCTTTTTCTCTGTTGCTCTACAGACATAAGCTACTATTTGTTCTTGTTAATATTTTCTAGACACTGTGCTAAATGCTTTTAAGACATATCTCATTTAGTCATACATTACTTTTGCAGGGATAGCTATTAATATTCTCATTTTACACATGGGGAATTTAAAGCAAAGTGTTAATGTAATCTGACCAAAGTCACCCAGCTAGTAAATGACAGAGATTAGATTTGGTGAGATTTTCTAAGGTAATTTACATAAGGGTAGAGTGATATAGAAATAGAAAAGAGTTTTTTAGAAACATGAGAAAAGAGCTGAAGACCTTCATGGAAGAGAACAATTATTAACAAGTCCCAGAAAAATAAAGTGTATACTGTGAGCATAAACAAAATCATGACCATTGACTTCTTCCCCCAAAAAAGTTAGAATGTAGCCTATAGTGTTCATAGATCTATCCAACAAGCTGCAATGTAATAGTAGATTACCCAGTAGATTAATAGTAGACATCAATCCCTTTCATCCCTTCCCAATGGCAGTATATTACCCTCAGAAGCAGAACAAATATGAAATGGAGAAAACGCATATTGGGACCTGGAAGAAGAATCTAGGAGAGATAATTAAGTATTTGGGAGAAAAAAAAATCACAGGACTGTGGGTGAAAGTTAACAGTGGCAAAGAAAGAGGCAAAATAGTGTTAGCCATGATTTGCCTCTGATTATACTCCTCTGTGTAACCATTTCCCCCTTTTAAAATCAGAATCATTGCTTTCTTGTACTGCTGACTTTATTAATTCAAAACCCCCTTTGTATTCAGTTTAAATTTGTGTATAAATTCACAAGTATATCTATGTTCTACATAGGAGCAAAACCCTTTGCTGATTTATATTTTCCATGTCAGAGCATCTTTTAGAAACCCAGTGAGACCTAAAAATAATTACTTAAAAACATATTCTCTAATGACATTTAGAATTTGATTTAACAAAATATTTAAAGGAAAAAAGAAAGAGAAGAGAGGAGATGAAACAAATGTGGCAAAATTTCAATAATTAACTCTGATGGGCTTGTAAGCATTCTTTGTACTCGTCTCTTATTTGGGTATGCTTGAATTTTTCATCAATAAAAATCATTTTATTACATACTCTCATCTCTACAATAGAAAAGCATAACTAATACTCTAGTGAAGGAAGACTCATTACTAAATTTTCTGAGTGATACTAATGGCAAGGGTATCAGTAGGGGGATTATATAACAGTGTTAAAAACACGGCAGAGATGGGGCACTTGGATGGTTCAATTGGTTAAGCATCTGCCTTCACTCAGGTCATGATCCCAAGGCCCTGGGATGGAGCCCTAGGGCTGGGCTTCCTGCTCAGAGGGGAGTCTGCTTTTTCCTCCCCCTGCACCTGTGCACTTTGTCTTCTTCCCTCTCAAATAAATGAAATTTTTTTAAAGATTTTATTTATTCATAAGAGACACAGAGAGAGGCAGAGACATGGGTAGAGAGAGAAGCAGGCTCCATGCAGAGAGCCCAATGTGGGACTGGGTCCCAGGACTCCAGGGTCACGCCCTAAACCAAAGGCAGACACTTAACCACTGAACCACCCAGGCGTCCCTAAATAAAATCTTAAAAAAAAAAAAAAAAAAACAGCAGAGAAGAAATAACCTTGTGTACTTTGACATTAAAGAAAAATGTGACCCCAAAACTAAAATTATAACAGTTTTTCTGAAACTTCCACTTTTGTTTCTAAAGATTTATTTACCTCTTTCAGAGAAAGAGCGCACTGGAGAACTTGAGGGGGTGGATGGCAGAAGAAGGAAAGAGAAATTCAGGCAGAGTCCACGCTGAGCATGTAGCCTGACATGGGGCTTATCCTGCTACTGTGAGATCATGACCTGAGTGAAAACTAAGAGTCACTTTACCAACTGAGCCACCCAAGTGTCCCTGATACTTCTACTTTTAAAAAAGAATGTTGACAAAAACATGAAAGGAGGAATCTATACAGATTACCTTAAGGAGCTTTTAGGCATCCTCCACACCAGGGGTTTCCAGCATATATAAAGAATATATAATTTCATAAATGAAAGAAGTACTATTTGTTAGAATACATACACACTACTGATTTTCAAGTATATGAAGCTATTTGATGTGGTTAATAAAACACAAATTCAAAAAGCATTCCTGAATTCTTTATAGTTTTTCATGATGATATGTATACATTTGCTTAATGCACGGATACTAAAATTACAGCAACTGTCATATGGAAATCTCAAATAGTTTTATGTTTTATGTAAAATTAGGAATTAGGGACGCCTGGGTGGCTCAGTGGTTAAGTGCCTGCCTTCGGCCCAGGGAGTGATCCTGCGGTCCCAGGATTGAGTCCCACATCGGGCTCCCTGCATGGAGCCACCTTCTCTCTCTGCTTATGTCTCTGCCTCTCTGTGTCTATCATGTATAAATAAAATCTATAAATAAATAAATAAATAAATAAATAAATAAATAAATAAATAAAATTAAGAATTATTACTGCACTCTCATGGTACCTCTTCTCTTTCTGTGTATTGACGTGTATTTCTAGGGGTTGGTGTGTGCCGGATTGGCTGACATGGCCAGACCTGCAGAGAAACTCAGCACAGCTCAATCTGCTGTTTTGATGGCCACAGGTAAGTTAAAGATTTTCTGTATTCCATGTAGGACATGTGATATATTTATTTTGTTTTACATCAATTTATTTAATAGCTTAAAGTTTTAAGCACATATACACACTCAAACATACACACACACATACCAAGAAATTAACAATGTTTACTCTGGGAAATTATTATACATGGAGAAGGCAGAAGAGAATTACTATGAATAAGTACCTGCATGGATTTTTGTTTTTTAAGTTTTTGCCATGAACCTATTTTATAAGTAGGAAAAAGTTAATAAACATTTGCTCTGTAAAGATTCCCTGTTGATTTAAGAATTAAATATTTTGTGTAACACTGAATCATAACAACTTTATGAAAGACTCAAAGTACAGCATTTCTTTTTCCTTTATCCTACATTATGTTATCATGGTCTTATGTATAATTATCTTACTCTAATATTGAATGTTCAAAAGATATTGCGGCAGTACCCATGCTTTTTTAAAAATATTTTGTTTCTGTGGCACCTGGGTGGCTCAGCAGTTGAGCACCTGCCTTCGGCTCAGGGCCTGATCCCAGGGTCTGGGATCGAGTCCCACCCACATCAGGCTCCTTGTGGGGAGCCTGCTTCTCCCTCTACCTGTGTCTCTCTGTGTCTCTCATGAATAAATAAGTAAAATCTTTTAAAATAAATAAAAACAAAAACTTTTAAAAAATAAAAAAATATTTGTTTCAACAGGGTTTATTTGGTCAAGATACTCACTTGTAATTATTCCCAAAAACTGGAGTCTGTTTGCTGTTAATTTCTTTGTGGGTGCAGCAGGAGCTTCTCAGCTCTTCCGTATTTGGAGGTAAGCCTATCAAAGGTGTTAAAAAGAAAAATCTGCCTCAGAAGCCACCCAGATGGCAATGCCTTTTTTTTTTTTTAGATTCATGTATAATGATAAGATGGGATATGCCTAAAGCAGAAATTTATAGAAAAGTCAAGGGGTTTAAGTTAAGAGTGTTAAGCAATATGTTTGCTATCTAGGTTTTAAATCTGTCTGTGTATTATATCTAGATATGTAGCCCTTTCATAGAATCTTCTAAGACAACATACACAACTTATGAAATATTAAGTAATTTCATCCATGAATCTTTTATCATTATATATAATAAAATGGGACCCAAATGTGTATGGTTATGTGGTATTGGAAATGATCTTTAGAGTGAGCTGCTGGTCTTATCAGAAAGTGTTCCAGGAACATTTGGAAGTTTTTAAAACTGTTTACAGGGCATCCCTCATTTTATTTCATTTCGCTCCATTGTTCTTCATAGATATTGCACATTTTCACAAATTGAGGGTTGGTGGCAACCCTGCACCTAGCAAGTATCGACACCATTTCCCCAATAGAATTTGCTCCCTTTATGTCTGTTGTGTGTCACATTTTGGTAATTCTCACAATATTTCAAAAATTATCATTTAAAAATTTTTTTTTACATTTGTTTTTATTTAATTTCGATTTGCCAACGTATAGTAACACCCAGTACTCATCCCATCAAGTGCCCTCCTCAGTGCACCCCAACCCCCACCCACCTCCCCTTCCGCAACTCTTTGTTTCCCAGAGTTAGGAGTCTCTCATGGTTTGTCTCCCTCTCTAATTTTTCCCACTCAGTTTCCCTCCTTTTCCTTATAATCCCTTTCACTGTGAATATTCTGCATATGAGTGAAGCCGTATGATGATTGTCCTCTGATTGACTTATTTCACTCAGCATAATGCCCTCCAGTTCCATCCATGTTGAAGCAAATGGTGGGTATTCATCCTTTCTGATGGCTGAGTAGTATTCATTATAATATTTGTTATAGATGATCTGTGATCACTGATCTTTGATGTTACCACTGTCATTGTTTGGGGTGGGCACCACAAACCATGCCCCCCATAAGACAGTGAGTGAGCTTAACTGATAAATGTGTGTGTTCTGACTGCGCCACCGACCAGCCATTCCCCATCTCTCTCCCTCCTCAGATCTCCCTATTCCCTGAGATGCAGTAATACTAAAAATAGGCCAATTAATAAGCCTGCAGTATGCCTCTAAGGGTTCAATTGAAAGGAAGGATTTGTACATCTCTCACTTTAAAACAAAAGCTAGAAATAAGTTTAGTGAGGAAGGCATGTTGAAAGCCAACAAGACAGGCCAAAAGGTGGCCTCTCGTGCTGAACATTTAAGTTGTGAATGCAAAGGAACATTCTGGAAGGAAATTAAAATGCTACTCTAGTGAATATATGATTGATAAGAAAGTGAATGGCCTATCACTGATCTGGAGAAAGTGTTAGTGATCGGGATGTAAGATCAAACAGCCACAACATTCCCTTAAGCCTAAACCCAATCCAAAGTAATATCCTCACTCTCTTCAATTCTGTGAAACTCAGAGAGATGAAGAGGCTGCAGAAGAAAAATCTGAAGCCAATAGAGATTGGTTCATGTGTTTCAAGGAAAAGCCATCTCCATAACACACAAGTAGAAAGTGAAACAGCAAGTGCTGATGTAGAAGCTGCAGCAAATTATCCAGAAGATTTACCAGATTAAGTAATGAAGGTAGCTACAGCAAACAACAAATCTTCAGTGTAAGTGAAACAACTTTATATTGGAAGAAGATGCCATCCAGGACTTTGATAGTTAGAAGTCAATACCTGGCTTTTAGGCTTTGAAGGACAGTCTGACTCTCTTGCTAGGGGCTGATGCAGCTGATGACTTGAAGTTAACACCAGTGCTCATTTACCATTCTGAGAATCCTAAAGACCTAAGAATAAATAATAGTAAATCTCCTCTGCCTGTGCCCTATAAATTGACAACACATCTGTTCACAACATGGTTTATTGAATATTTTAAACCCATTGTTGAGACCCAGTGCTCAGGGAAAAACGGTTCCTTTCAAAATATTTCTGCTCGTTGACAATGTGCCTTGTCACCCAAGAGCTCTGATGAAGATGTACGGCAAGATTAGTGTTTTTTTCATCCTGCTAAGACAACAGCCATTCTGCAGCCCATGAATCAAGGAGTCATTTCAATTTTCATGCCTTCTTATTTAAGAAATATATTTTGTAAGGCCATAGATTGTAATTCCTCTGATGTATCTGGTCAAAGTAAATTGAAAACCTTCTGGAAAGGATTCCCTATTTTAGATGCCACTAGGAACATTTGTGATTCATGGGAAGAGGTCAAAATATCACTGTGAACGGGAGTTTGGAAGGAATTGGTTCCAACCCTCATAGATGACTGAGGGGTTCAAGACATCACTGAGGGAAATAACTGCAGATGTGGTAGAAATAACAAGAGAACTAAGTATGAGAAGTGGAGCCTGAAGATGAAACTGACTTGCCACAATCTCAGGATCAAACTTGAATGGATGAGGAGTTAATTCTTATGGATGAGCAAAAGAAAGTGTTTCTTGAGATAGAATCTTCTCCAGGTGAAGATTCTGTGAAGACTGCTGAAATGGCAACAAAGAATTCAGCATATTGCATAAACTTAGTTGATAAAGCAGCAGCAGAGTTTGAAAGGATCGATTCCAATTTTGAAAGAAATTCTTCTGTGGTAAGATGCTATCAAATGGCATCGTGTGCTACAGAGAAATCATGTGTAAAGGAAAGAGTTAATTGACATGACAACTTCGTTGTTGCCCTGTTTTAAGAAACTGTCACTGCCACCCCAGTCTTCACAACCACCACCCTGGTCAGTCAACAGCCATCAACATTGAGGCAAGACCCTCCACCAGCAAAAAGATTACGACTCACTGAAAACATAGATGGTGGTTAGCAATTTTTAGCAGTATTTTTAAATTAAGGTATGTACTTCTTTCCTAGACATAATGCTGTTGCACACTTAATAGACGATAGTATAGTGTAAACATAACTTTTATATGCACCAGGAAACCAAAATATTCATTTGCTTGCTTTATTGTGATACTTGCTTTTATTGTGGTGGCCTGGGAATGAACCCACAATGTTTCCAAAATTTGCCTATATACTCAGTAGTTAACATTATTTGTCAGTGATTGGCTAGCATTCCGGAGTGAGCTCATTTAGATGAAGACTCTAGGTTTGTTTGAACTGCCTTTCTAAATTACAAGACAATGTTTTTTGGCTAAAAAAAAATTTAAATTATCTCAATAAAGAAATAGAAAATACTCAGTTATAATTTACCTTCCTTTCAGAAGGCATCCTATTCTGCAGAGTATATTATATCTTGATTTTATTCATCTTTACTATCCCTGGGTTTATAATTCCATTCTTTCATAATCATCTAACAGTTTTAGAGCTTACTTATATTCCTATAAACTTTGATTTGTACAGTGATTTTATTCACGAGTATTTTTCTCAGCCACCATTTCATTCTAACCTTATGTTAACTCAGTAGTAGAGCTAAGAAAATGCTAAGTGCAACGTTCGGAACTATTTCTAAAGCAAAAACTCAGATGCAGTTTGACAAAAAGATTTTTGGCACCTCTCAGTCACAATAGCAGATTGGGAGATTTAATTAAAAATATAAATGTTGGACTCTGGAGCATTTAGAAGAACACTGTTGAGTATTTAAAATCAGAACTTTTTGAGAAATCTGGGAGGTATGGTAAACTTCATGGAATAAGTTACTTTTTGTGCTTATATTCTCTACTCTTGTAATCTGGGAAGAATAATAAATGAAGCTCAGGGTGTTGTAGAAGCAAAAGACTATGGCTTTGTGGTTAATTTTTCTTTAGATTAATGAGAATGGAAATAGGACTTAGCTTTACTGTCCTGCTAACCCAGCTTTTACAAACTGCTAACAACCAGTAGCCTGCCTGCATCACAAAAAATACATTTATTTTTAGTGATTAGATAGGATCCCATTCCCAATTTATTTTATTCTTAGGACAGATGTTTTATAAGTATAAAATAAAAAGTTCTAGATGGCCACACTTTAGTAAATTTTATCTGTATGTTCACATATTTGTTTTCACTCTTCTTACATAATTCAAGAATGAAAATATTCACCAAAATAATAGTTTTGTATAGGAAACTGTTGTCAAACTTTTTGGCATTTAGAGGCTAGATGTAAATAAAATTCTTAAGTCACTTTCTATTCTGCCTGTTTCACACATGCCCCTGAGAAGATTGTAGTTCCCAATATATAGCCTCTTGACTAGTGAGAAAGAAGACATGGAATATACTTCCCATTCTTTTCCTATTATACATTTATCTATTGTGATTCATAATTATTTTTCTTTCTGTTTCCTTTATAGATATAACCAAGAATTAAAAACTAAAGCAAACAAATAAGAGTTCCTGACCACCTGAACAATCTAGATGTGAACATAAACCACTGGGACTAATTTGATTTATAATTTGGCTGTTGATAAGGTGATATTAACTGTGCTACTGTTTGGAAGGCATAAAAAAATCAACCTGTAAATTGGGGGCTAATACTTGATTCAACAGAAAAATAAAGCAAACTTTTAATAACAGTGTTTCTTTATATATGACTTGAACTTATTTATGGATATGAGTAACATTCTTTTCTACTATTTGCCCATAATAAGTCATACTTGTTCCTTCTGTTCTAGTCTACCAGAGATGGTTAAAAGGTTAAGTAATCTGTTGTACAGTGAAGGATGATGAAGTCCCTGGAAGTGAAAGGAAATAGAGCTAAAGAGAGTGAGAAGTGGATAATGGAATGGCTAGCAGTTCTTTAATAGCCACAGAGTAACAGAGGATCTCTGAGTTTTTGAATTATATTCCATAATTTATATAATGTGGCAGAAAAGGTTCTGGAGTCCTAAATTTGAATCCCAGCTCTGTGATTTGTAATCTATGACTTTGGGCAGATTAAAGTGTCTAGTAGAGTGCCCTGAACATAAGTCAGCCTTCTATAAACATTATGACTTTTATCCCTCTTATGAAGAGAGACAACATAGATTACTCTGTGCTAGAAATAATCAACAGTCTATTCAATTTGAGCTCCTGTTTAGAGTAGTGGGTTTCCTTCTAAAAGTTCTACAAGAGCCAGTCCTGAGTAGAACTGTAGTCAGAGGAATCACCAAAGCAAGTTATTTCTAAGTTTGAAGAAGCAATGACAAAAGAACTTTTAAAATACAGTATGTGATCAAAATCTGGCAGTTAGCAGTGAAAACCTTATACTTTATCAGTTATCCTTTCTCTTTAGTCCATCTTTGAGGAGGAAGGATTAGAGAATTTGACATAGGAAAAAGTGAAGAGGTCCTGAAGAGCCCAATTATCACTGCTTTCTTTCTAACCATGCTGTTAAATTAGTTTGGCCTATGTGAACACACATGTGTATGTGTTTCCTATGGTTAAGCCTTTTTTCTGACCAAAACATTTAATTAACAAAAAATATTACAATAGCAGAGAAAATAATAATAACAATAAAGAGAAATTAGAAGAAGTGGGAGTTGGGGTAGAAGAAAATGCAAAGGCCGTGGTCCTTAAGAGACCAACACTCCGGCTGAGCTGGACTTAGACCCAGCCCCTTCTGAGTTCTCCTTGGTTGCTGGCTTCTCATCTTCCCCCATGAGACGAATGTTGTACTCTCCCTGGAATTCATTTAGTCCTCTTCCCTTTGCCTGAAGCTGCTGTGTGAATGTCTCAATGATCTTCTGTATCTGCTACGTGTTGTTCTCCAAAGCAGGCAACACGTCTTTGACAGTATGCTCCACCAGCACGCCTCTAGCACTTGCAGGCCCCATCTCTTAAGAAATATGACATAGACACAAAAGGTTTATTAAAATGTATATGTTGAACTGATATTTCCTTTTCATTAAAACCTGCTCTTTCCTGGGACACCTGGGTGGCTCAGTGGTTGAGCATCTGCCTTCAGCTCAGAGTGTGATTCCCAGGGTCCTGGGCTCAAGTCCCACATCAGCTTCTTGCTGGGAGCCTGTTTCTCCCTCTGTCTGTGTCTGTGTCTCTGCCTCTCTCTCTGTGTCTCTCATGAATAAATAAATAAAATCTTAAAATATAATAAAATAAAAACCTGCTCTTTCCTATGAGTTCTCCTAAGCCCCACTTGTCAGTCAAACTATTTATAGCAGTTAGATGCAATCACATTTCCTTTTGGTTCTCAGAAGTTCCATTGACAGACTACCGGCTCATGCTTTCTTTAGTCCCCAAAACATTCATCCACTCCATTACTGAATCTTAAAAATTAAATTACTCTAATAAGTTTCCAATAAAAAAATTCTTACCAATTGAAACACATAGTCCACGACCAGTTTCACAACTACTCTCAAAAACTTAGAATTTATATGCTAGAAGTCCTTACTACCAGTATAGGTACTGAAGTCCATAAAAGTACATTTCACAATGGTACAGATCACTTGATCGGTCTAATTGAGTTGATTTCTATATCAAAATTTCTAACCAGCCCTTACTGAAAGCTTTATTAGGTAAGTCCTCAATGCGAGGTCTAACAGGCCTGGGTTTCAATTCAACTCGGGTACATATTAACTGTGAGATCTTATTAATCTTTGTCTCTGGGCTTTAGTATTTTTAAGAGTAAAATGGAAATATGAAAGTATTTACATAATAGGATTGTTATAAAGACTAATTGAAATAATGTTTTAACTCAGGACTTGGTCGATGATGGGTGTAAAATTAGATATAGGAAGTTTCAGGATTAGTACTTTCTTATACCAAAGTATATCTGCAAAAAGGGTATAAACTGTGTTAACCTATTTGCACACTTTCTGGGGTCGTAGCTATTGGAACTCTTAAGGTTTTCATAGGCTAAAGCAGAAAACATGCTGCTTGTGATGTGGGGCCAGAAACAGGGTGGAGAGTGCTCAAGAAGAGATAAATTCTTTAAAAAAAAAAAAAAAAAGATAAATTCTTTAGCCTATCTTTTTTGTGGTTTGGCATTCATTTCAAAGAAATATTGATCCAAAGTACATCAGTGCTGTCATTTCTCCATAGTAAACAGGTTGTCTTTTTTTTTTAAGTTGTTCAAATGATGGTGAAAGGTTAAATCTTAACAAGGATTGACCTCAAATCCCAGGTTCCTCTCCATGAAGGAAAACAGTTTCTACTGGAGCTTGTTTATATGACGAAACAAAAATAGAAAGCACTGGTATTAAGATGGGCTTTCTCCCTAAGGGGTCTGTTTAATTACATGAGGTATGATTCTAATTATATTAAGACTGGTTTCCACAACTAACATCACAAAATTTTCTCAAGAAAATATAATTAAATTAATCTCTTTTCTCCCTAAGACAACTGTGTTTTACAATATTTTGAAACAGTAAAAATTTAATGATAGGGCTGGACTCATCTTGCGAATGATTACTTACTTTTAAACTTTTTTTTTTTTTATGAGAGTCACAGAGAGAGAGAGAGAGGCAGAGACACAGGCAGAGGGAGAAGCAGGCTCCATGCACCGGGAGCCTGATGTGGGATTCGATCCCAGGTCTCCAGGATCGCGCCCTGGGCCAAAGGCAGGCGCCAAACCGCTGCGCCACCCAGGGATCTCTAAAGTTCAACTTTTTTAAATTCAAGTTTTACATATGTGTCACTAAATGTTAATTGTAGTTGTGACATATATAAGAAGAGCTAGAAAATCAAAACAGGATTTAAGCTGTTAGAAAAAAATAAGCAACCCTCCTAAAACACATTATGGTCAGTGCCATGTTGGATTGCAAGTTATCTTTGGGGTAAATTTGATTAGAAATGTGCACTTGAATAAAAAAAGGATATGTAATTCTTTAAACAAAAATTTACCTCACAAAAATCCCTAAAGTACTAAATATTTAACTGATAAATTTCACGGTCCTGATAAAAGCCATAATTATTACTAACCAAAATTGGGTGTTTGCTTATTCAGGAGATACATGGCTTTATGATAATCACCCACTAACTATTGCCTAATTTCAACCCCCCTCTACTAGGTCAGAGAAAGAGTTATAAAAACTACTTTGGGTCCATCAGTCTCCCTGACCCTTGCCCCACATGTCTGGATGGAGAACGTGAACCAGCCAGTCCATGTAGGAGTAACAGGCCACTGGGACTGGTGGGGGAGGGGGGACCATGCCAGCCAATCAGAGGCACAGTTAGTGAGCGTGAAACAATGAGCTTCTGATGAGGGTGTGGTCTGGAAAACGGCTTTTAGACAAAACTGTCATTTTATGGGTCAGCTATAGATGGACATGGCACTTCTGCTGTCTTCAGAATAATGTCACCCAGGCCCCTTTTCTGTTTTCTGCACTCCTGAAACATCTGGTACCTGATCTAGGCTCTGGCTTTCCCTCAGCCCTGGAGAAAGAGGAGGTATGTGGCATCCCTGTAGGAAGAATGGTGGCAAAGGTGAAGGTGAGGTCACCCCTCTGGGAAGAAGACAGGTACTGGCTTAGAGGAAAGTGGGAAGTCCTTGAGCTAGGAATCCTAGAGAGATGATAGGTAGGTAGGTAGGTAGGTAGGTAGGTGATAGATAGATAGATGATAGATAGATAGATAGATAGATAGATAGATAGATAGATAGATGATAGATAGATAGATAATGTAAATCTGTGTCAGTCAAGTGAGGTTGGAAACTTGAAGTCTTAAATGTTGCCTCATCCTATTTATTCTGGATGGTTGCTCTATTTACCTGGCTTGCCGTCTTTAGTTACCCCTTTCCTGCAACTTCTCACATGATAGCCTCCTCTTTATCAGTCCTCAAACAGCAAATGCCAACTGTGTGAGGGGGTTGGTAGGAAATGCTGTGGAGGAAACAAGGTCATGTAGAACATGGTCTCTAAAACAGGAGTTTACAAATCACAGGAAGACATAAGCAGACCAATAGATAGGGAAGAATATCTAAATAGCAAATAAGGCGCATACATTTATAACACTAAGTACCCTCATAACTCAGAGGAAAAGTTGCCTTGGCTAGAGTGGTCTGGCAAGATTTCCTAACAACATTATCCCTTTAAGTTCAGAGTATCTCCTCTTTGGGCTCTTATAAAGCCTGATTTGACATAGTAGTGAAAAACTGGATGAAAGCTGAAATCTGTTAGAAGTTTCTAAAAGAGATGTTTAGAGAAACCATGATGGATATAATTGATCTTTAATTTCATTTTCATTTTCAGATACTGCTGAGTTTTAACTAGAATGAAGCCATTCACTCCTTCCTTCTTTCAGGGAACTCTTTCTTAATATATCTTTCAGGCCTCACCCACCTGCTTAATTACTCTTTCAGCCTTTCAGATATCCTCATACCTCAGTGCATTCATGCACCGTCAGTGCCTGCTCTTTTCGAGCTCTCTTCTTGATTATCATTGAGTTGGCCAAATAATTGATGACAGTGCCATCAATATGCATTGGAAGTACTCTAAGATTAAATACATCTTTTCACCAGGTCTTTATGACCTATATCCCCAAAGTGTCATAAAACAAATGAATGTAGCAAGGTGTGGTAGAAAGAACATGAATGTTCAAATCCCACCGACCTGGGCTTTCCAGCTGTGGAAATCTCTCT